GTGCAAGAACCTTGAACGGTGAAAAGAGAGAATCATAAATAATGAAGAAGCCAACAAGCGTGCGCGCAGCTTGTGAAAAGTGAGGTTGGCACCACTTTGAACGGTGATTCGCGGACTCTGTTGACAGAAATTTCGGACGATTTTGCCCAAATTATGAACCACGACCACCTTGTGCCCTCCTTGAAGCAGCTGAAGCAGCCACCGTCACCAGTATCTTCGACGACAACGTTTTAATCGAAAGGGATTTTTCGTTAATCGAAAGGGATTTTTCGAGCCTTTTATGTAGGAAAAAAAAAAAGTGGGATGTGAAACTGAGACAAAAAGTAATGGAGGTGCGGGGAATCGAACCCCGTGCCTCTCGCATGCGAAGCGAGCGCTCTACCATATGAGCTACACCCCCTTGTTGAGAGTTGTGGGATGGCATTTTATATTTTATATAAATAATACCAACGTGCATTAAATATATTTCATTACATAACATAAAAAGAACAAGAAGACGTGTAACTTGTATAACTTTATAAATAATAATGACAATGACAACAGAGTTTAATAATTAACTATTATATAGTGAATAAGAATAAGTAAAATTGTTATTTTTTCTCATATCAAGGAATAAATATACCTAATAAAATTAAATTTATATTAGTTTAAATGTGTTAGTGAGATAATATATTGATTATTTTACAAGTTAGCCCTAACATGCTCACGTTTAATGTTCTGACTAATAAAACAACGCTGATTAAAAGATGTGAAAAATAGATTACATCCCTATTTTTTTAGACTTAATGGTGATTAAAAGAGGTAGAAAATAGATGATAACTCTTTTCAGACTTAAACGAGATTTAACAGTGATTAAAATAGGTGGAACATGGATAATAACCCTTCTCAGACTTAAATGGACAGCCTGTGATCATTTAATATCTCTCTCCCGATGCACGGGGTACGTACTAGTTTTAAAGACAGAAATAAAAATAAAAATAAAAATAAAAAATAAAAAATAAAAAGAAAAACGAATCGAAGGAGCCAAATCAATCACGAAGCCTCATTTTTTCACCTCTCCCTCTCCAGTCTCCACGGTTCCGCAGCCGCCTCCACGGCTCCATCACAGCCCGGCGAGAGTAGGAACTCCGCCGCCTCCACGGCTCCACCTCAGCCTCCTCACAACCAACCTGCTTCTCGCAACATCAGACAATTATTCCTAAAAATTTTGGTGGAAACTTGTATATTTATGTGAATTATTAATTAACTAAAAATTTTGTGATCAAATTTATAGTGGGTTATGTGATAATTTATTATTTATGTATTATTAATTTCAATAATTTTGGGATCAAATTTAGAATCAACTTGACTATGTTAGTGAATCAATTAACATAATTAAGAAGGTTTTTTGTTTTTTTTCTTCTTACTATATAAGTCATATAAAGTAAATGATCAATTGTATATACATATCTAAGCAAAACAGGATAAATAGTGTCAATTTCTGTAAATAAAAAAATAATAATTAATGATGGTAAAACAAAATGCAATAAGTCATTTTATAATTTAGAGAGAGATACAATTATATCTTCCTAAATGCACCTACACAATGTAAATTAGATCCTTTATCAAGTAATTTATATATGACCCTAATCTTTAAAATTCTTTTGTAAAATTCAGTGTGGGCCTAGGCCCACACTGGTTCCATACTAGCTCCGCCCCTGCCCATCAATCTCTATTTGCATACTCATTCACTCGTTAGGCACTTATCGTCGTTGCTGTTCAACCGCCGGAGGAACTAATAGCTCGCGTTTTTTCCTCCATTCTTTCTATAAATGGCGAGGAAGAGGTTTATAGTGGAGGTGGAGCCTTCGAAGCCTGCCAAGGACGGGAAGCCAAAAGTTCTACCTCCACAAAAGGAAGTATCGGTAGATCGGACCCATATATCGCCACGTTTGCGCGAAGGATGGATTCAGGGGCGAAACTACATTGATACATAGGGGGGCAATTGCCCCCCCTCAAATTTTAATTTTTTTACTATTATAATTTAATTGCCCCCCCTCAAATTTTAATTTTTTTACTATTATAATTAAAAAATTTAATTTGCCTCCTCTCAAAATATTTTTTGCACCCTCAAATTTTTTGCTAGGTCTTTTTGCCCCCTCTCAATTAATTTTCCGATTTTGCCCCTGGATGGATTTCCACCGTCGGTCCCAGAACTCGACAGCTGCTGGAATATTTTTCGGTTTGATGCATTCTCTTGTTTTGTTGGGCATTCAACTGTAGACCGAAATATGAGTGAAAATATTAGAAAATAATATTTTTGGAAATCAATTACAAAAATGTACTGATATAACTGCCACAATACTATAATCGAAGTAATATCTATACATTAATGACAAATCCTTACGATTTTCTATTCATGTCGTAATGATCTATATATAAATCATCTATTTAAGGTATTTCAAGATATTTTTGAATTTTATCAATAAATGCACCAAACTATTTTTTTAAAAATCCATACTGCAATTGACAATATCATAGCATTTCTCATATAAATTAATAGATTAGAAAAAAATTAAAAAATATATATNTTTGCCTTTTTGAAGTGTTTCGCTAAAGTTTGAAAGTTGATTCTTGAAAGGTCGACAACAGGTCAGTGATGTCTCCGTCTTTTTTAGTGTAATCCTGTTTTTCATCTATCTTTTTTCTATTTTCACTTGGATGAATTGAATTTAGTGGAGGCAATGTTGTTAGAATAAATGAGCTGAGAAAAATGTTAGTCCTTGGCTCAAACAGAAGAACCTCATGTCCTGCTCCTCTTACTGCAAATGTTAGTCCTTCATATCTCAGTTCTTCCTCCAGCCTATAGTATATAATATGGTTATATTGAGCTACCACTCATTATTATATATGTATATGTGTGCGTGTGTGCGAGTGCGTCTGCTGGTTTGTGTAAATATCTTTACCTGGTATTAGGTATTTGGTGTTCTATGTCTTTCCATTATTGTTGATTTGGTAGTTGGTGTTTGAGATTAGTCTTGTGCCCTTTTGTTTTGGCATGTCCATTGTTGAAAAACAAGTCATAAGCTCTGCAATGATGTAATAGAATCAAATTTGAAACTCTTCTGCAATAGGAGTTAAGTAGCTTCTGGAACATATCAAAATGAAAATGTGATTACTTTGATATTATGATTTGGATTATTTTAATGTGATTTTGTTAATTCATGATGATCCGTTGACTTGTCTTGGTTTATGACTAATTTAATAATGATATTCTGATGCTACACTCATTTGTTTATCTCAAGTATCTTTGTTCATTTGTTTATCTCAAGTAGAGTTCAGTGTCTTATTTGACATCTAAATCATGTATGAGGGCAAGCCAGAACCACCGATAATGATATTAACTATCCATGTTGATGGTTATCACATCTAATAAGATTCAATAAGTTGAAAAAGCATGTACTTATAGCAATTCATGAAACAATGATGACTGCATGGACATATTATGGATAGGTATAATTCAACTTATCAGATTAAATTCTGCATCCGACGAAAGCAACCGTTCAAACTAGAAAACATAACTTTTTTTAGGTGTGGTGGAGGTTGCTAGAGAGCTAATTAAGAAACTTTTTTAACGTTTAATTGGCATGATTATTTATTAAATTAATAGAGTGAGATATGAATGATTGACTGATTCTTGCTGTTTTGAGGATTGAATTTCTTTGATGTGTATTTTCCTATTTTGATTTGGTATGATGATTTTTTATTTTCTTTATAATTTTGATGATTCTAGTTCATATCAGAGAGTACAAATTCAATTGACGATGATAGCCAAATTCAATTGACGACGTGTATTTGTCTAGATTTTCGGGACCGATAGTGGGAAATCTCCCAAACTTTGATAGTATTGACGATGATAGCCAAATTCAATTGGATGAGACCGATTATTTTTAGATTTTGTTTCTTTACTTTAGAAGATTATGACTTTGGGTTGTTTATATGAATTAATATTTGAATGTTAATGTTTTAGATTTAATGTCCAAGTTTAGTTTAAGACATTTCAATTATTTATTTGCTTGTATGGTTATATGTATTGTTATTTTTAGCATTAAAAGTGAATTGCTCGAATAGCTTACGGCCTTACACAACACGCTACGCAGTATAAAAACTAAAAACGCAACGCAATACGCTATACGCGTTTTAAAACACTGATTGACATGCATAGTTGTCGCTATAGCGGTTTCTCGTTTATGGAACAGTAGAATAAAATTTATTCGTGGAATTTTTATAACATTTCTTATACTAAAAGTTTATAAAGACACGTTCCTCGATTTTTGTCATCTTTACAATTCAGGCTAGTCGAATAATTTTCTGGCACTCATGGAAGCCAAATTCTTCAAGTTTCTCAAGATTGTTGGGGTTGGCTTCAAAGCTAGGGCGGAATCTGAAGGCCGTCTCTTGTTCTTGAAGCTCGGGTATAGCCATGAGGTCCAATTAGCTGTGCCTCCAGCTGTTCGGGTTTTTTGCTTCAAGAACAATATAGTTTGCTGCACAGGGATCCACAAGGAGAGGGTCCACCAATTTGCAGCTGCTGTTCGTAGTTGTAAGCCACCTGAAGTCTACAAAGGCAAAGGCATTCTGTACATTGATGAAGTTATAAAGCTAAAGCCAGGAAAGAGGTCAAAGTAAGATCGACTGTATGCTTCCATCATCAGGAAAAAAATGTTTTGGAAAAACCGGATGTGCTTCACAGCACGCATTGGATTCTATTGTTCGTTTTTTAGAATATTCATCTTGTTGGAGAAGAAATTTGTGAACTTAATCTGGGTTTTTTTTTTTTCAACCACAATGGCACACTGCATTTATTTTGTCATGAGTCTATCGAATGTTGGGTTCATTTCGGAGATGAGCTTTTGGATGAACAGATAGACAAATAGACAGATGGCAGCTATGACTCCCGAACGTAGAGTTTCATAATGCCTCAAATGTTGTGAGACTTTTATCGTTGTTATTTTTATTTTCTTTAGTAGCTTATTGCGGTGATCGTCTCCACTTGTTATTACATCTGCTTATTGCCACTTTTGTTATGACTTACAGAATCACATTTTGATGCAGCGCAGTGTACGGATGAGAAATAAGATAAGAGAAATTTCTCTCGAATATGTAATTTTCTTATTCAAATTCAACTCCCCTAGAACCAAAGGAGGGGGCCTCTTTAAATAACACTCCTCAAACACTAAATTACTAGCTTGTCGAACAAGATAAGGACTTTGACTTAATGGCTTGTTTGGCGATCAGCGGATAACGGATAGCGGATTATATTAGCTGATTTGAAATAAGTGTTTGGTAAATAGCTGAAAGCTTGTAGCTGTTTGACATTGCAAAATGACCAATAAGGATATTTTATTATTTAGGGCGTATTCTTTTAATAATAATATATTAAAACATTTAATATTCTTTAGTTGGTAATTTATAAATATATTATTTGTTTTTAAAATTTACTAACACTTGATGAAGAAGTTATGAATTTTATATTTTTCTAGATAAATTAATCATATGGATGACATATTATTATTTATTAGCATCATAAACCAATGTAGATTGTAAAATAAATAAGACAAATTAAAAAGTTCCAAGTAAATGATTTTTGTGAATCCTCTATCCCAAAACCTGCTCTAATGAGCTTTTTCTAAATTAGAGTTTTGGGTCCAAAAAGCTTATTAAATAAACTATTTACCAAACAAGCTCAATAGCGGATTTGACGGGTCAAACCTCTCAACTAAGTCCAATCCGCTAATTTATCTTCAATCAACTATCTACCAAACGGAGCCAATAATAAATTACCAAACAATTTAATGGTAATAATAATAAATATAAAAATAATAAGATACCACTTAAACCAACGATAAAAGAGGATTATGTTTGTCGAGTAACGCTAACGCACTCCCGTTGGAGAGGATTCACCTTTGAATCCAACCACTCTCGTCGTCATACGAATTGTCATCATGGAAAGGCACCAGATGCTCGACACTGAACACTTGAGGCCTGCAAAAGTACGACGGTAGACGAAGGCAATACTCATTAGGAGTGCACTTCTCCACGATCGTGACCGGGCCAATTTTACACACCAGACAACTTGGTATACGCGCTAGTGGAAAAGCTGCCCGCTGGCAAGACTGCCCACACATAATCGTCGACTTCAAACTCCACAAGGATTAATGGCCAACAGAGAATACTTATTATTGCAAAGAGATATTTTTCCAGTGTAGGAGAGTTTAATCTGAGCATATGTCTGGTCACTAAATGTGATATGGGATAAAGACTCATTTCATTATTCCACCATTACATTTTATTGCGAGATCATTATTCATCTCCGAGATACTAACTTGGGCATCGGACGGTTTTGCGTCGGAGCAATTCCGGCGCTTTGCAGGTTACGGCGAGCTCGAGTGCAGGGACTGGACCACACCCACCAACCTACCATTCAAATCGAAGAGGACTTGATGAGGAACCGGAGTCATTCATCTTGGACCTTACCAAATTGGCGTCGTTTGTGGGGCCCTAGCTCAACCGGTGTTGATCTGGCGGTACCTCATACATAACAACCGGAAAGTAAGCGGAGGAGCACGGATTGAAGAAGATGGTGAAGGAAAGAAAGCGTGAGCAGGCAGGGAAAGACAAACCATGGTTGCACAAGCGTCCTGCAGGTGACCCCAACCCCCGCTACCCGGCAGCCACCGAAGCTGTCGGAAGCAGCCGCAAATAGCCCAACGCAAGCAGGTGCAATGGAGACGCCGATAAGGCCGAGCACGGGCTTACTACACCGTGGGGCATGCGAAGAGGAAGTGCAGCCCCAGAAAGAGACGACGGAGGGGACTGGCGCAAATGTTCATCTTCCCATCCTGGAGCACACCGTGCAAGTTACCCCAGCGCGGGGGAGAGGAGGATAACAGCTCAACCAACAGCTCGGCGGTATTCTCACTTTCATTTGGTAGGTGGAGAAAAAGATAGATACACCTTACGGAGGGGAGAAAGAATATTGTTCATGGCGTTCCGGCGAGGAGCCGTCCAGAACACCCACCCCAGAAGCCGGATGCGAAGCGATAATGGAGATAGGAACACCCAGCATCCCGGCGGCGATGGGCAGACGAGAAGGTGCGCCGAGAGCAATGTTGGAAACACGTCAAGAAGAGATAAGACCTTACGGGGGGACAGGGGGGAGAGGGGAACGACAGTGAACTCCCAGAACCAAACTAGCACCCCTAACCATTGTTTCCCATCACCAAGACTAGAGTTAGAGTTAGAGGCTGATTGTGGTGGCTACAACAGCCCGCACTTTGCAAACTCCTCTTAGCGCAGGAGTAACAGCCCGATTCCCGATCTATGGAGAAGTACATAGCATCAGTTCTATCGATAGTGTCAATTTCTGTACATAGTGTCAATTTCTGTAAATAAAAAAATAATAATTAATGATGGTAAAACAAAATGCAATAAGTCATTTTATAATTTAGAGAGAGATACAATTATATCTTCCTAAATGCACCTACACAATGTAAATTAGATCCTTTATCAAGTAATTTATATATGACCCTAATCTTTAAAATTCTTTTGTAAAATTCAGTGTGGGCCTAGGCCCACACTGGTTCCATACTAGCTCCGCCCCTGCCCATCAATCTCTATTTGCATACTCATTCACTCGTTAGGCACTTATCGTCGTTGCTGTTCAACCGCCGGAGGAACTAATAGCTCGCGTTTTTTCCTCCATTCTTTCTATAAATGGCGAGGAAGAGGTTTATAGTGGAGGTGGAGCCTTCGAAGCCTGCCAAGGACGGGAAGCCAAAAGTTCTACCTCCACAAAAGGAAGTATCGGTAGATCGGACCCATATATCGCCACGTTTGCGCGAAGGATGGATTCAGGGGCGAAACTACATTGATACATAGGGGGGCAATTGCCCCCCCTCAAATTTTAATTTTTTTACTATTATAATTTAATTGCCCCCCCTCAAATTTTAATTTTTTTACTATTATAATTAAAAAATTTAATTTGCCTCCTCTCAAAATATTTTTTGCACCCTCAAATTTTTTGCTAGGTCTTTTTGCCCCCTCTCAATTAATTTTCCGATTTTGCCCCTGGATGGATTTCCACCGTCGGTCCCAGAACTCGACAGCTGCTGGAATATTTTTCGGTTTGATGCATTCTCTTGTTTTGTTGGGCATTCAACTGTAGACCGAAATATGAGTGAAAATATTAGAAAATAATATTTTTGGAAATCAATTACAAAAATGTACTGATATAACTGCCACAATACTATAATCGAAGTAATATCTATACATTAATGACAAATCCTTACGATTTTCTATTCATGTCGTAATGATCTATATATAAATCATCTATTTAAGGTATTTCAAGATATTTTTGAATTTTATCAATAAATGCACCAAACTATTTTTTTAAAAATCCATACTGCAATTGACAATATCATAGCATTTCTCATATAAATTAATAGATTAGAAAAAAATTAAAAAATATATATAATATTATAAATTATAAGAAAATTAAAATAATATTAATGTAATTAAAAATTAATAATATATTTCCACTCGTGTAGGATTAGTCCCACACCTCTGTGCGTGTATCCTTTAGGACGTTAGGTCCGTACTTCGTGGGGGCTGACAATTTGTGGTGAAGTCTCGGGATAAAACTGGGATACTTCCAGTCGTAAAAAAAAA